ATTTGACGTGGTGAGTTTTCAGCGTATAAAAATGTAGCACTAACAGAGCTTAAAACGCTGAAGTTCTTGGGAAACAGGAGGAAAGCTCCAGCAGTTTTCAGTACGATGGGATCATGTTGCAGGCCGAATTGAATCAACATGACATCAAGGCGGCTTATCAAGTCGGCCAGCTACATACAAGGTCTTTCTAGAATCGTGCTTCATTTGGGAGCAACAGCACCAAATGAGTGTCAGACGCCTGAGATGGAGTTTCTTTACCCCTTCACTCCTGTCCTGCCTTTTCCTTTGTCCTTCTTCTTCACCGTCCTCCCTTATTCATGCCCCTTACGGATTTAGGTCTCCATCACAAGATTATGTCAGCATCGGCGCAATGCCGGGCCGCTGTGGCAGGCGCGCCGGTAAATGCGGCTGCTGGACTGAGGCCCATGGAGGGGGTCTTTGTTTGTTTTCAGACCCATTAAAAGGCTCGGCGCTGACGCGGGCAGCGTGCATCTGGAAGACTTTCAAACCAAGTCCGGGCTTCTCCGTAAATCAATGAGGAAGATCGACGGAGCCGCGACTCCCTGCCTGGGTAGCACTAATGCTCAGAGAGATCGGTGACCCAGTGAGGCTCAGCGGCCCGGCTGTCAATCAGCACCGGTGGAGGTCTGAGATGCAACGGTGGGGTGCACTGCCAAGCGAGTTTTACATACCCAGAATTAACTCACTACAGTTGGGTTAACTAACTCTGACTGGCCTGATTAGCATTAAACAGTATTATGACTGTGGTTATCATTTTTCCACACGGGTGGTCTCTAAAGTGTCATTATCATGAAAGCCCCTATGCCTATAATCAGAAGGTCACTGGTTCGAGCCCAGCTTCGGCAGGACAGTCACATGTTCGTGGGCCCTTGAGCTAGGTCCATAACCCCCAACTCCCTGGACTGGCCTTTGCTGCAAAGCTTACTCTCACCTACCTGTGTGTGTGAGCGGGTATACTTTACCTTATGGGGACACAATGTCCCCATAACGTGATGAATACCCGTTTTATGGAAAAAAGAAAAAAAAAGTTTCCTGGTCCCCATAAGGTAAAACTCAATTTAATAAAATTTGTGACTGCAATGAAAAAACTAAAAATGGAAAAACTCTTTTATTTTACTTGGTTACTTATGGTTATGGTTAGGGCTGGGTAGGGGTTAAGGTTGTCATAGTTAGCGTTAGCATTTTTCCCATAGAAATGAATGAGCCGTCCCCATGAAGATACCCGACATCTGTATGTGTGTGTGTGTGTGTGTGTGTGTTTGTGATGGAGAGCGAGGTGGGGTAGGCAATAAGAGAATTTCCCCATGAAGGATCAATGAAGTGTCATTATTATTAATATGATCTGGGTAACTTAACTCCGGGTTTGTCTGTCCGTGTTCACATAAAAGGAGCGGAGTCGGCATCAAACTAAAGACGCATTCTAAAAGCTGCCCTTTGATAGGGGGGAGGTGGGTAATACCCACCCTGCTCGGCAAATGTTACTGTCAGCATACCCCCCCAGCAAATTGAATCCTCCTGGCACCGATACTCAGTATTGGGATGAAAACCTTAGTATTTTTTGGCAGGGGTGACGCTACAGATTTTGGGCCCCATGACAGCATATCATATTGGGCCCCAACCCAGACCAATCCAATTATGTATCAAATATTTTAGGGCCCCTGTCACTCAGGGGTCCTTGGAACCGTCCTAATGTTCCCCGACGTACCTCTTTCTTAGTAGAAAAGAAAATCAGTGCTACCACACTGTGTTTTTGGTGAATTCAAAAACAAGCCTCAAGAAAGCTGGCTAAGCCAGGAAAACTTTCGGGTGGGGTGCCCCCTGTGGGCCGGGGGCCTCCCCAGATAACCCCAGGTAACCCCAGCCATGTTGAGCCACTCTTTTTATCCATCTGATTTCTATGCTATGGAAAAGTTATGTGATATCGTCCATTACTTACCCTTCATTTTATGCCCAATTATCTCCTGTTAGATATACTTCCACACAATTAGAAATCAGCACTGATACTGACAGAACGTAATTCCGGTCAGACGATACACATATGTGATTTTAATGACATGCCATCACCGCCCAATTCTACCACAATGCCATGCTGTTGTCCCAGGCAATTAAATAATTATTTAACAATTTTATCCAAAGAGGTCAGCCAGTCCCTGGAGCAAGTGAGGTTAAGGACCCAGCTGTGAAATCATTCTACTGACCATGAGATTTGAACTGGCGAACCCCCCCCCCAATCGTGGGCGAAGAGTCAGACGCTGTTGCAAATAAATAGTGATTCATGTAAGTGTCCAGGATGCAAGAGTGTTAGGATACAGAGGCTAAATATGCACCCCCCACCCCCCAAACCGAAGCAGGGAAACGCACATCAGGCCCCCCCACACCCAACCGTTCCCTCACACGTTTAACATCTGCGGAAAAACAGATGACTGTTTACTTTCACAAAATGTAATTAACTCCACGTGCCACCTCAATGAAGACGCACGATATGGGACACGAATGATCGGTGCATTTAGCGCCCTTTCCCGCTGGGCCCGGCCCACACTGCTCCTCACCGTCTCTCGCATCAGCCTCCCGTTTGTCGCTAAGCAACTACTGCTAGCGGGTACTTTCCCTGTGCCACGAGACAGCCTCGTTTCATAATTTCTGTGTGCCGTAAATGAATAGCCTTCAATCACTGCGTCTCCCCAAGTCGCCCACACTCCGTGGAAGCAGCAGCATTCCAGAGCACGGCCTCGCCACTCGCTGACACCGCTAAACTGACCATATCTGTGGCATCAGCATCAATCTTCTGGATAATTCCTCAGATGGGCCCCGCATTCCATTCATCACTGGCGGAGTATAGACGCTGGTGCTCAGGGAGCCATTTTTACGCCTTAACAAACAGGAGTCGGGGCCTAACAGGCTCCACAGAGGTAGTGCAATGTGGTAAAACAGCGAAAACATTTTATTCTCCTGAGAAATGGACATAATCAGGTGAGAGAGATTCATAGCCAGGCATGCAGCAGTATAACAGTGTCACAGACAGGGGGCGCCATTCAGGGGATCCTCTCCAGTGCAGCCATTATGGTCTATAGCAGCAGTACTGGTCAAAGCCCATGTGGTGCCCTAGACAAGCTTCATAATTAACAGTAAATTATCAAACAAAGCAAAACCAAAACGAAAAACAAAAGTAGGATTTTCTGACTTTGCAGTGCCCTAGGCAAGCTTCACTGCCAGTGCCACCCCCACCCCCCACCCCCCACCAACCAC